GTTGAGAGAATGCCAAGAGTTTGCAAAGCTTTCATCAAGGCAAATGGTGGTTATTTGAAGAATCTCAAATATAAAATATATTTTGATTTGTTTAACACTTTTTTGGTTACTACATGATCCATATGTGTTATTTCATAGTTGTGATGTCTTCACTATTATTCTACAATGTAAGAAATTGTAAAAAATAAAGAAAAACCCTTGAATGAGTAGGTGTTTCCAAACTTTTGACTGGTACTGTATAAGACATCAAAACTGGAAAGTATTCAGACCCCTTGACTTTTTCCACATTTTGTTATTCTAAAAACATTTTTCCCCTCATCAATCTACACACAATACCCCATAATGAAAGCAAAAACAGGTTTGTAGAAATGTTTGCAAATTTATAAAAAATAAAAACAGAAATACCTTATTTACATAAGTATTCAGACCCTTTGCTATGACACTCGGAATTGAGCTCAGGTGCATCCTGTTTCCATTGATAATCCTTGATATGTTTCTACAACTTGATTGGAATCAACCTGTGGTAAATTCAATTGATTGGACATGATTTGGAAAGGCACACACCTGTTTATATAAGGTCCCACAGTTGACAGTACATTTCAGAGCAAAAACCAAGCCATGAGGTCGAAGGAATTCTCCGTAGAGCTCCGAAACGGGATTGTGTCAAGGCAGAGATCTGGGGAAGGGTACCAAAAAAGTTCTGCAGCATTGAAGGTCCCCAAGAACACAGTGGCCTTCATCATTCTTAAACGGAACAAGTTTGGAACCACCAAGACTCTTTCTAGAGCTGGCTGCCCGGCCAAACTGAGCAATCGGGGGAGAAGGGCCTTGGTCAGGGAGGTGACCAAGAACACGATGGTCACTCTGACAGAGTTCCTCTGTGGAGATGGGAGAACCTTCCAGAAGGACAACAATCTCTGCAGCATTCCACCAATCAGGCCTTTATGGTAGAGTGGCCAGACGGAAGCCACTCCTCAGTAAAAGGCACATGACAGCCCGATTGGAGTTTGCCAAAAGGCACCCAAAGGACTCTCAGTCCATGAGAAACAAGATTCTCTGGTCTGATGAAACCAAGATTGAACTCTATGGCCTGAATGCCAAGCGTAATGTCTGGAGGAAACCTGGCACCATCCCTATGGTGAAGCATGGTGTTGGCAGCATCATGCTGTGGGGATGTTTTTCAGCGGCAAGGACTGGGAGAATAGTCAGGATCAAGGGCAAGATGAACGGAGCAAAGTACAGAGAGATCCTTGATGAAAACCTGCTCCAGAGCGCTCAGGACCTCAGACTGGGTTGAAGGTTCACCTTCAAACAGGACAACGACCCTAAGCACACAGCCAAGACAACACAGGAGTGGCTTCAGGACAAGTCTCTGAATGTCCTTGTGCGGCCCAACCAGAGCCCGGACTTGAACCTGATCGAACATCTATGGAGAGACCTGAAAATAGCTGTGCAGTTACGCTCCCCATCCAACCTGACAGAGCTTGAGAGGATCTGCAGAGAAGAATGTGAGAAACTCCCCAAATACAGCTTGCCAAGCTTGTAGCTTCATACCAAATAAGACTTGAGGCTGTAATCACTGCCAAAGGCGCTTCAACAAAGTACTGAGTAAAGCATCTGAATACTTATGTAAATGTCAAATTTCCGTTTTTTCTTTTTTATAAAGTTGCAAAAAATTCTGAAAACCTGTTTTTGCTTTGTCATTATGGGGTATTGTGTATTGATTGATGAGATAAAAAAACAATTTCATAAATTTTTGAATAAGGCTGTAACGTAAGACAATGTGGCAAAAGTCAAAGGCTCTAAATACACTGTATATATACAGTATACTATATATACACACACATCGGACAGTTTATTAGGTACACCCATCTAGTATCAAGTCGGACCCCCTTTTCCTCCAGATCAGCCTGAAATCTTCGGGGCATTCTACAAGGTGTCGGAAACGTTCCACAGAAATGTTGGTCCATGCTGATGCGATAGCATCATGCAGTTGCTGCAGATTGGACGGCGGTACATTCATGTTGCGAACAGCCCGTTCCATCTCATCCCAAGGATGCTCTATTGGATTGAGGTCTGGGGACTGCGCAGGCCACTCCGGTAAACTGAACTTGCTTTTATGTTCCAGACGATTTTATTCCACTCCTCAATTATCCAGTGTTGGTGATCGCGTGCCCACTTGAGCCGCCTGTTAGCTTGCACAATTCATCAACAAGCTGTTTTCGCCCACAGAACTGCCGCTGACTGTTTTTTGTTTGTCGCACCATTCTCGGTAAACCCTAGACACTGTCGTGCGTGAGAAGCCCAGGAGGCCGGCCGTTTCTGAGATACTGGAACCGGCGCGCCTGGCACCGACGATTATACCACGCTCAAAGTCGCTTAGGTCACTCATTTTACCCATTCTAACGTTCAATCAAACAGTAACTGAATGCTCGTCTACCTGCTTTACATAGCAAGCCATGGCCACGTGACTCACTGTCTATAGGAGCGAACCATTTTCGTGAATGGGGTGGTGTACCTAATAAACTGGCCACTGAATGTATATGCCCAACACATATGAAGAGAATAAAGTAAACAAAAAATGAAAAGTAAACTTCATATCATATGCACTCACCTATATTTATTTAGCTAATAAGTTGCAGTGCCAATATATAACACAGCACAAGTCTGGATTTATGTCACAGCAGCTGTTTTCGGCCATATATACCAAGAACAGCTGTGGACCTTACGTCGGTGCAGATGTTTAGCCAAAAAATATACCTCCTCTTTTTTCCTCAAACACCAACACGCTTCGCATAAAAACGACTGGCACTGGCATTAGTACTGTTACACGTAGCGGCAAAATAACTAAAATGATCAAATTTAATAAAGAAGTACATAAAAAGGGAACTTGGACGGTGTCCGTGAACCTGCTCTGGTGGAATAATGAGTGATCCAAACCTCCCACTGCTACAGTATATGGCTTCCCACCAAGTGCATGAAAAAGCTGGTCCCTGTGCCATGCACTGGCAGATGCCTGTTAGGTCTCAAGTAAAGCATTAACACATTAATCCTATTGAAGCATCACCATGCAAGACTGGAGGCTGCATCCCCACGGAGGCTGCATCCCCACCGAGCCAAGGCACATATTTAGGTCAGTAAATACAGCAGTGAGCCTGAACTGAGACCCACTAAACCTGGCTTTGAAAGATAAAGATAGAGAGAAAGAGGAGGGGAGAGAAAGAGAGAGAGACAGAGGAGAGCGAGATGGAGAGACACTGACTTTTTATGCTCTTTCACTGAAACATCAAAAAGCCAGAGAGAGAGAATGTGCATGAGATGAAGAGAAATTGAAAGAGAGAGGAAGCATGGAAGATGGGGAAAAAGAGAGCTCAAAAGAGATGCAGGGAGCTACCAATAGAGGCATAAGAAAGAGAAAAAGACAGAAGGGAGGGTGGAAAAGTAAGAGAGACAAAAATACATAGATGAAGAGAAAGAGATAAATAGAAAGAGACCGGTTCCAAGCGCAGGTTTGGTCAGTGAGGAGGCAGCCCAAGTTAAAATGCAAACCTCTCAGATCACAACACTGTCAACAGAGCATCAGCTGACCGTGACCACCGAGGCAGGGGCATCGCTATGGACTTGAAGAGAATGTTCTAGGCCTGACAGATACAATCTGTCCTGACATTATTGCTCACTGAACCTGTGCAGCAATGTCAGCCAAGACGTTATAGGCCCGCCGAGACCAAAGGACCAATCTCACTCTACAGCAGGGCTGTTCAATTTCCGGTCCTGGAGGGCCGAAACACTGTTTTTTGTTTCTACTTGGTACTTAATTGCACTCTTGTGTCCTAGGTCTAAATCAGTACCTTATTACAAGGAGAGGATGAAAACCAGAAGTGTTTTGGCCCAACATTGAACAGCCCTTCTCTACAGCAACAAAGACTTAATGTGCTGACCACACTGCTCGTGTTGCGCGCGCGAGCGTTGCAAAATAATGTTACACATTTCATCCAAACTGCTCGCGCGTCAATGAGTGTCTGTGTAGCCAGGTGCTAAAATATAACTTGGTTCTATTATTGACGCTTGACAAGCTGCAAGTCCCTCTCCTATCTCCTCATTGTTTTTTAGGAGCATATACCCGCGTGGGTGATTGAAAGCTGAACTGAGGTCCACACTCCAGTCCAGTTGGTGGTGGTAATGCACCTTAAAGTTGGTTGCCAACCGCCATATAAAGTCCACAGAAGAAGAAGAAGAAGAAGCAGACTGAAGGAGGAGAGATTACTAGAAACTAACTAGGTTTCCCCTTTTATCTGTGGATTAATTGTCGGAGTAGAGAACACAAGATTTTGTGTTATATCCCAGGACAAATTAGCTAGCAACAGCAAGCTAGCTAGCTAAATGTCCATGAATGTGTTTCGACCTGTCCCCAAATTAATATAGTTGGTTCAGAATTCGTTTTGATATTTCAACCTGCGTGTCCTGATCGCATCTGGTGTGGATGGACAAAATCAACATGCACGCGCGATGGCGCGTGTAGTCAGCATGTAACTGCCACAGTCTTTATATAATTCTGTCTATCTTATCACCCCAAAGCCTTGTGCAATGGTGGGAAAAGTGTATCCAGATTGATAAATGTGATACCTGAGGTAGCCCTGACAGTCAGAAGAGGACTTTGCTACTCTGATCTTTATCTGTCTCACTTTAGTCTTATCCCACCTTCTTTTGCGATGAACAACTTGATGAGGGTGTGCCGATTACAACTCCACCTTAAAATCAAGAACGAATGAAAATATAATCCAGCCGAAAGGTTCAAACCAATCAATTACCCCAACAGGCTAACCTAACATATCAGGACATCTACATCTGTGTCAGTGCTAAGGTTGTTTCAAGACCTGACTAGAAGTCAATTTGGGAGAAGGATGGATAAACATAATATACATCAGGTCACGGTGGCAGTGTTTCTGTTGGCAGTGTTTCTGTTGGCAGTGTGTGTGTCGTGGGGGTGGGGGGGCAGTACCTGGGATGGCGGTGGGCTCTGCTGCGGTCCTAAAGGAGAGGGTGCCGGGCTGGGACTTGCCCTGCTGGTTCTCGGCCACCACGTAGACTTCATACTCCGTGTTCCAGTCCAGGCTGCTCAGCACCACGTACTCACTGCCATGGGGCATGCGGATCTCCGGCTTCCAGTCTGAAACGTGCTTCTAGGGAGGTTTGCAGAAAGGTGTGTGTGAAATACTCAGACAGGACTCAGACATCCGTGGCTATGACACAAACTGCCCATCACTTTATATCACTGTAAAATGTTTCCATGCATTCACACTTATTTGGCGATCCAGGAATCTTCCTACGTGAATCACTAACCATTTATCAATCTAGGCATAAACACAATAGAGATCTATCGTCAATCTATTCAAATCATGTGATTCATTCCTCAGTTTTTCATATGTATATCCATAAGTCTATGTGTGTTTTGCAAAACTGAAATCATCACAGTACAATCAAACAGACGAGATACGTAATAAACACGCTGAAAATCTTATTTTGGGAAGCAAAGCGGTATACAGTGAGGGAAAAAAGTATTTGATCCCCTGCTGATTTTGTACGTTTGCCCACTGACAAAGAAATGATCACTCTATAATTTTAATGGTAGGTTTATTTGAACAGTGAGAGACAGAATAACAACAAAAAAATCCAGAAAAACGCATGTCAAAAATGTTATAAATTGATTTGCATTTTAAATGAGGGAAATAAGTATTTGACCCCCTCTCAATCAGAAAGATTTCTGGCTCCCAGGTGTCTTTTATACAGGTAACAAGCTGAGATTAGGAGCACACTCGGCCAGGGGCTCCATGCAATATCTCACCTCGTGGAGTTGCAATGATCATGAGAACAGTGAGGAATCAGCCCAGAACTACACGGGAGGATCTTGTCAATGATCTCAAGGCAGCTGGGACGATAGTCACCAAGAAAACAATTGGTAACACAATACGCTGTGAAGGACTGAAATCCTGCAGCGCCCGCAAGGTCCCCCTGCTCAAGAAAGCACATATACATGCCCGTCTGAAGTTTGCCAATGAACATCTGAATGATTCAGAGGAGAACTGGGTGAAAGTGTTGTGGTCAGATGAGACCAAAATCGAGCTCTTTGGCATCAACTCCACTCACCGTGTTTGGAGGAGGAGGAATGCTGCCTATGACCCCAAGAACACCATCCCCACCGTCAAACATGGAGGGTGTTTTTCTGCTAAGGGGACAGGACAACATCACCGCATTAAATGGACAGGGCCAAGTACCGTCAAATCTTGGGTGAGAACCTCCTTCCCTCAGCCAGGGCATTGGAAATGGGTCGTGGATGGGTATTCCAGCATGACAATGACCCAAAACACACGGCCAAGGCAACAAAGGAGTGGCTCAAGAAGAAGCACATTAAGGTCCTGGAGTGGCCTAGCCAGTCTCCAGACCTTAATCCCATAGAAAATCTGTGGAGGGAGCTGAAGGTTCGAGTTGCCAAACGTCAGCCTCGAAACCTTAATGACTTGGAGAAGATCTGTAAAGAGGAGTGGGACAAAATCCCTCCTGAGATGTGTTCAAACCTGGTGGCCAACTACAAGAAACGTCTGACCTCTGTGATTGCCAACAAGGGTTTTGCCACCAAGTACTAAGTCATGTTTTGCAGAGGGGTCAAATACTTATTTCCCTCATTAAAATGCAAATCAATGTATAACATTTTTGACATGCGTTTTTCTGGATTTTTTTGTTGTTATTCTGTTTCTCACTGTTCAAATAAACCTACCATTAAAATTATAGACTGATCATTTCTTTGTCAGTGGGCAAAGGTACAAAATCAGCACGGGATCAAACACTTTTTTCCCCTCACTGTACATAGCGTTACCTCCTTGTCCTGTCATACTCACAGCCCTGTATCTGATCAGGTAGTGTTTGATGGGCGAGCCCCCATCGTCTTGCTTGATCCAGTTGACCTTGAGGGCGTTGCCCATGGTCTGCAGCTTGCCCTCCAGCTTAGGGGGACTGGGCTCCCCTAAACGGGACATAGCGGGACACATCGGTCAGTCAGTTACCATGGCGACAGCCTACATGCTCAGCTCAGTCTCCTGCCCAGTGCCCTTAACGCAGGTGGCATGGCTGAATGCATCTGTCCCTCACTAAATCCCATTGTTGAAGAACCAACCCACATCACTAAATCTGCAACATCGCTTCAGGAGCCTTAATGTCAATCCCTTGCCTCTGGGTTTTGTGTATTTACTGCTTTAAATGTAGTACATCTGGAGGACAAATGGATTGTCTTTACAGTGGCAGTGGCAGAGGATGTTACAAGACGATAAAATTAAGTTTTGTCCCTCACAGACTAAAGGGCGGTTTTATGATGGAGGGACAGTGAGGACAGTGGGTGGTGGGGTTAGAGAGGGAGCCGGCGGGGAGATGTAATTCTCCTTCAGGAGCAGCTCGTTATCTGGCCTCTCCTCCAGACTAATGACAGGGACACAGGCTAATTAGCCTCCTCGTCTTGATTAGATATGTTACTCTATTACATTTAATAACATAATCATGGTCCGCTGGGAAGGGAGGGTTGGTGTGTTCCATTTACATTTTAGTCATTTAGCAGACGCTCTTATCCAGAGCGACTTACAGTTAGTGAGTGCATACATTTTTCATACTGTTCCAGCATGTGCATGTGTATTTGTGTGTGTGTGTGTGTGTGTGCACCTTTTGAGTGTGCCTGTGTTCGTGTCTAATGATGTTAGCGTAAAAATGTACAGCCATGTCACCTCAGTCACAGAGAGTGTAGGGAGGAGACTTTAATCACCATAACTCATTCATCATGGGCACATTGGTTACACACAGTTAGCGGTGTGAATATGCTATTAAAATAACTAATGCAGAACACAGAATGTTACATACAGCTCCAGAATTCTACTACCCACTATCACTAACCGCCCAAAAGGTGGTATCAGGTTTCAAATGGCTGCTGTAGCACATCTGCAATGTACACTGAATTGTTTGGTTTTTGCTGAGATCAAAGGAGATGATATACTGTCCCATTTTTATGTATTTTTTCTTAAATTTTGCAGCCAGACACCCTGACCTTAGGTCACACCTGGTACAAACTTTGAAGCTCACTGCCATGCTTGAGGGAGCATTGTTGCCCTTGATCACCCTGATGATATTTATCCACCAATGAACTCTGAGAGTGGATCATTCCCACAGAGGGCAGTGAAAGAGCAGTAGACAACAGCAATGGTTCCAGGCATTCTGAAAGAAAACCATGGAAGTGCAGGAGGGAATATTCATGTTGGACTTTCAACTATACTCCAGCCTGGAAGTCTGTTTGGACCACCTCCTTTGACTTCAGCCAAAATAAGGTAAGAAAAATAAGAAATAATAGGGTTAGAGACAGACATATGAAACCTGCTCCACTTTTGCCTACCCGATCCAGTGGATCTTGACCTAAAGCTCCCTGACTTCAACCTGATTGAATCCTATGATTATTGGATTATACTTTTCCTATTTATCCTCTACCTTGGCCCTGAAAAGGTGAGTAATGTCTTTCATTTTCACAAACGTCAATCATTCATAAAATTTATAAAATAACGTATCTGCAGTTTAACTGTTATATATTTTTTATGGTTGTATCTAAATTTAAATTGGGGTTGTATCTTAATTAATGACACTTCAAACATTAATTTAAGTGATTACACAATTAGTTAATCAGACATGCGTGAAGGCACTTCTTCTTGATCTCAGATGATTATCTGATTACATTCTCCTGAAAATGCATTCGAATAAATAGTCTTGGAGTAAGCATGATTTGATGCTGGAATTGAAATAAACAGGGTTAGTGATAAGAAAAAGCAGTCAAAATGGTGGCATGTACAGAGAGTTATATTCATAGTTTATCCAGTCATGAGCATCATTCCCAGTTAGGTGAGGTTGTTCCTAATGCTAGGAAGAAAGAAGAGCAATTAAGGTTATACATGAATTAGAGATATTAACAAAAACATGCTCTATCATGCAAACACCACTTTTATTCAATATGTAGTGATTCGGGTATATTTTGAAGCATCAATTTGTGACAGTCCCATGATCATCCCCATTTTCATCTGATGCAACAATAACTCAACCTTTTTATTGGTCTCCCTAAATAAATACTGTAAAGATAGCATTACTTTAAGTGTGTCTGCACAGTAGTGCATGCATGCGTCATATCAATTTCTGAACGTTTCATCAGATAAAAATGTTTTGTGTGTCAGATCCTTTACTCTAACTGACATGAACTGACATGGATAAAGGAAATTATGCTCTGGAGTAAATCAAACTTGAGCTACCTTCCTTCACTGATTCACTTTCTCAGCTCTTTTAAAGACATCCCTGCGTGTGTGAACAAATGAGCTTATTGATAGGTTTGCTGTGCCCAAATGCAATGGAAAGATCATTGTCACACCAGATGGGTTAAAGGACTCATGAATTGTAAATGGGACTGTAATTTTTCAGTCTGTATCAATACATGTGAATAACAGAGGCACTCTGGAAGACAAACACAGACAGACAGGACATACATGCAGACAGGCCAGAACTTTCTGTCTGATGAGACAGTAGAAAAGAAACAAGGGAGTTGGAGGAAAGAGGTGTGAACTTGCATGCATGCAGTAATGTGGGGTGAATACCACTGTTAGTCCATTCAGAAAAGCATTCTGGGAGACAGAGTTTGAAAAGGCTTTAACTCCATGGATGAGTAGGTCAATCCAGGTAAATAAAATTCAATGAGCGTGCGATGCAGCTGCTAAAGGTGATGGTTTCAACGCAGCTATTGTGATTTTGAGATGATGTGATTTTGCATAAAAAAAGTGCTTTTAAAAGATATGTTCTGTTTGCATATGATAGCCATCGGAGGTGGCACCAAAAAAGAAAACTATAGAAAATATATCAGGGTTAGAGGTCAACCATTTGCTTATCTCCAACTGCATTATGTAATGCTCACTGATAGCTATATAGCAGTATATCTAATATATTATGTGACGTATAGCTTCTAAGAAGGCAATGAGGGAAATATACTCTGCACCTCTCAGAAAAAACGTGAATTATACCCTGTCTCTTAGTGGGATAGCAAGTGAGCATACAAAAATCTAAATACAATTGTCGTAATACGGTTGGATAAAATGCAGGTTGACCAAAGGTAAAAATCTATTCATTGGTTGCTCTATTGTTCTATCAAAGTAGCTTATCTAAGCTTAAAATCATATCTAATTTCCCACTGCTTCTTATTGATATAATATGACTTGACCAAACAGAACAAAAAAATTACCTTCTGTTCACCAACGAAGACGACATCATCAGCACCATGCAAGAGCCACATGACAAAGTCATATGATATGCAGGCACATGATTGGTTGAAAGGAAAGTGGGGGGGGGGTCACATGGAAAATACAAAACATTTTTTAAATGATGTAAACATGGGTAAGGTACAAAACAATAAGAACGTTAAAGACAAAATGATACAAAACAGAAACACAAATGACAAAAAGAAATACACAAGTTCAGAACTTCTTTACACATCAAATAGACATAGAAAACTACAACTAGATACATGAAGCATTTTAAGACATCCAGTTTTGGGTTTCCTGTGTTTTGAATAGATATTATGTCATGACCAGGAATAAGCTAGCTCATATATGCAGGCTAAGATTTGTCACTGTAATGTTTTTGCAGGAACTAGATGCCAATTCCATGAAATGTTGTCCGTCCAAAATTGCCTCATGCATCTTTCTTTGAAACAGTATTTCCTCTGGACTGGAATTCATGCAAATATTTTTCATACTCTATTTCTACACAAACAAAATAACATCTTTGTATAAGACTGTAGCTTATGTTTAGGAAAACTCTTGACCTTAAAGGGTCTTCATAGAGCCTTGTTTTCTGTATACATTGTACATTTTGGCTCCAACCAAGTTGTGTAAAAGAAAAGAAAACCAGAGGAAACTCTGCAGTATTGACAATACTGATTGACAAAGCACATTGTCAAATGTCATATGTGCAACTAAATATGGTATATGACAACAACAATATGACCACATGAAGCATTGGGGGGTGGGGGGGTTGGTTTTGATCAGCAACAAATGAGGGCTTTGGAGGGTTAAAGTATTTGGGACACATTTTACCTTCAGTCACACATTGTAGGACTTCATGATACATACTGTATCTCTGAGGCCATATTGTCAAAAGATATGGTCTTGATGTATGAGAATGCAGAATAAACACATACCATAGTATAAAGTCCCATACTTTAAGAAAATATGCTCAATATGTTCATAGAGGAAAGAAACATGAATTACAGCAACACTGAGTGGACTCTGAACCTCGTTTTATGAATTCTAATCATAATTAGACAAGCAACATACTTACTCCAATTACCTGGTATCAAATGCATATAAAGTATGCACACTTGTTAACACACCTGAAGCCTTGAGGAAAAAAATCCCTCATGCCATTTCTCACATTTAGCTAACTAGAATACTAATCACACGTGAAGACAATCAGTATTGAATAATGACTGATCTGTTAATATTAGTTACATAGAGGCTATATGCTCTACAACTTATCATTCTATAGGTGAGTCAAAATGTAATTAGTAACTAATAGAGCACTGTTTTATTACAGCTGTTATATTATGTATATTGGTTAGCCTAGAGATAAATACCTGGTACATGACCTACAAAATAGTTCCTCAGGCTTCCTTATATTTTCCACAGTAGATAGATACCAGCAATTCGACAAATACATAGTACACACACACACACACACACACACACACACACACACACACACACACACACACACACACACAATGTTGACCCATAGCAGCTTCCTAATTTACAGCCATGTTTATCCTAACAATACCTTAGGGAAACCTGATTTACCTTTCCCAAACATGTATGTAGCCTTTACCTCTCCCAAGAGCATGAAACATATGGCAAGGTTACCAATGTGGGAACTACAAAATCCTCATTAAAACACACTATCCTGCAAACAAACCCTT